TATGATTCTTTTAACTGGATGGCCTTGCATCAGGTAGATGCTCTAGCATAAGTAGTTTGGATAGTCAAGCATCCACAGTACATGCAAACTGTTTGTCTATTTTTCTTATGTAACCTGTGACTTGTATTATAATAGCTTAGTAATTTTATATACCATACAAGCATGTTCTGATTTCTTTGATAGCAGGTTTTAGTTCTCTGGTGTTTTATTGACTTTTCTCTAGTAGCCCATAATTTAAAATGTTCTTACCAACTTTTGTTTTTAAGTATCAGTTTTTGCTATTTTTTGTTTGTTTGCCAGTTTACCCTCTTTAAAAATGTTCCTAAAATTTTACTGACGGGACAGGTTAGTTCTTCACACAATTTTAAAACTTGTTTGGTATAATTGCTTTGCTCTTGTCAGTATTCATTAGCACCTCTCACCTTGCTTTGTTACTACTATGTTGCATCAAAATAATGTTAAAAACAGTTAAAGCCTACATACTCTAGGTAAGTAATGTTTCATTGGCTTGGGAAGGTCTGATGTTGTATGGTCACTGATTTATTTCTGATTTAACCCTTTGACTGTTTTGGTCGTATATATACATCTTATGAGCCAATGTGTTTGACGTGTATATACTCAAAAATTCTAGCGACTTCAAATCAAGCAGGAGAAAGCTGGTAGGCCCACACGTGAGAGAATGGGTCTGTGTGCGCAGTACAGTGGACCCTCGACCAACGATGGCTTCGTATAACATTAAATCCGACTAACGATACATTTCAACGCAAAAATTTTGCCTCGACTAGTGCTAAAAAAACTCGACCAACGCGATTCATTCTATTTGAGACGCGTCTACTTTTGGCCTGAGCGTGCCTCACTTGTCCCGTGGGTGCCAGTGTTTACAAGCCAGCCAGCCGCCGTGGTCCTATCCAAACATACAATTGGAACATTTCATATTATCACAGCATTTTTAGTGATTGCACCTGCAAAATAAGTCACCATGGGCCTCAAGAAAGAAAAAAATAGCTTCTAGTGCCACCCCTACAGCAAAAAGGATGAGAAAGAATTACTATGATTGATATAAAGAGATCATTGCTAAGTAGAAGTGGGTGCGTTGTCTCCGAGATGGCCAGGTTGTACATGAAAAACCCCAATCAAACCATCCGTACTATTGTGGCCAAGAAAACGGCAATCAAGGAAGCTATTCTTGCCAAAGGTGCAACTATATTTTCGAAACTGATAGAAGATGTTGAGAGGATGTATTGGTGTGGGATAAACGAAAAAAACAGATAGCAGGATATCCAATCTATCAAGCGATCATATGTGAAAAGGTAGGAAGTTGCATGATGATTTAATTAGAAAAAATGCCTGCAACTTGTGGTGATGTGAGTGAATTTATGGCCGGCAAAGGTTGGTTGAGAGATTTAAGATGTAGACTGGGCACTACATTGTTGTGATAGCATGGTTTGAGGCTGCCCAGTTTTTCGGAACCAAAAAAGCAGCTGAAAAATATGTGCAGGAAATTCAAGGAGTAAGTACATAGACAGTGAAGGGGAATTGAAACCTGAACACGTGTTTAATTCGTGACAAAACAGGCACTGTTTTGGAAAAGAAAATGCAAGCAGGTCCTACATTAATAGGGAGGGAAAAGGCACTCCAGGACATAAGCCTATGAAAGCAGGCTTACTCTGTTGATGTGTGCTAATGTAGTGGTGATTGCAAGTGAAGTTTTATTGGTGTATCATCTGAAACTCCCAGAGTGTTCAGGAAAACAATGTCCTCAGGGAAATTTGTGTGTGCTGGCCTTGGGGTTGGAGGTTAGTGGCGGGGAGGTTGAGGAAGAAGAGTTGGTGGAGGAGGACAATGATGAAAACTAACCCACTGATGAGCTGCTAGGAATCATCTTCAACTGCAGAGGCCAGACTGAGGAAACTGCTCGGAGGAGGGATAGAGAAATTGAGGAAGTTGCTACTTCGAAGATTAAGGAATTGTGTGCAATGTGGCTTAAAGTGCAAAACCTGTTTTGATGAAAATCACCCTGACACAGTCTACTGCAAAGCGTGTTGGCAACCTGTACACTGACAACGTTGTGAAACACTTTAGGAATATCATAAAGGAACGGGACGCGTACAGGCCTCTTATGGACAGGTTATGTTGTGCGACAGAGGTCCAGTGACTCTCAAGCTGGTCCTAGTGGCATTAAAAGAAGGGAAGTAACCCCAGAAAAGGACTTGACACCTCAAGTCCTAATGGAAGGGGATTCCCCTTCTAAACCCGAACACCATCCACACTCCCCTCTCCCATCCCTCAATCTCACCAGATCTCCAATAAAGGTAAGTGTCATGTAATTGTACATGTCTTCTTCAGTTTGTGTATTAAAATTAACCCTTTCAGGGTCCAAGGCCCAAATCTGGAGTCACGCACCAGTGTCCAAGAATTTTCAAAAAAAAATCGTAGTAGAGAATCTTTTTGTGAAGGTAATAAAACAAAAAGTACGAAATTTGGTGGAAAATTGACGAAATTATGCTCTTGCGAATTTTGATGTGTCAGCGATATTTACGAATCGGCGATTTTGCCGACTTTGACTCCCATTTTAGGCCAATTACATTATTCCAATCAACCAAATTCTTAGCATATATTCACTAGATTACTTCTATTCTATGATTGCGCACAAGAAATCGCCAAGTCACTGTTTTCAACAACAAAATAAAGTGATCGGAAAATTGTTAATTTGCCAATTAACACAAAGTTCAAAATATCCGGGGGGGGGGGGGGGAGGGGGGGATTGGGGGGGGGTGGGACGGATGGGGGGGGGGGGGGATGTGGGGTGGGGGGGGGAGATAACTATAATAATACAAAAAAAAAAAGTACAACTATAACTACAACATATTTTTTTTGGGGGGGGGGGGGGGGGGGGGGGTGTAGGGAGGGGGGGGGATGGGGGGTGGGGGTATGAATGGGGGGGGGGGGGGGGAGGGAATGAGTATAGTATGTGTAAAGAGTGATGGGTGGTTGGGGGGTGGGGGAGGGGTATTGTGTTTGGAATGGGGGGATGGGTGGTGGATAAATTTTTTGTTTTGGGTATGGTGATGTAGGTAGATAATTGGTATATATAGCATAACCATAGTTGTGAATGTATTTTATACCCACCTAGGTGACGTGTATAGACGTGTGAGGTCGTTTGTTGTACTCTTGATCTATCGGCAAAAATTTTAACATTTCTGCTACTTGAGCTCAGTTTCAACGCCATTTCCAATGCTAAAACCAATCAAATCATTCTCTATTTCTGTAATTATGACTTCACATTCTATCAAATGAGACCAAGAAATCGCAAATACACTATAAAAGACATACGAAAAAACACCCCTGCAAAGTTGCTGTTTTAATCGAAAAAATCATGATTTCATTTTTTTTTCTCAATATAACACAGTGTGCTGCAGGATCGTTTTTTATGTGTGCACACATAAACCACATAGATGTATCTCTCATATCTAGGCCCAAATGTACCATCGCACATTTATCAGATGAGCTGAGGCCATGGTATATCTACTACGTTGGAACCCTGAACGTAAAGCCGTAGATCATGGACGGAAACCGGACAGGGTTTAATATTTCATGTGGTACAAATTTTTTTTTTTCAATACTTTGGGGTGTCAGGAACGGATTAATTTGATTTCCATTATTTCTTATGGGGAAAATTAACTCGACTAACGATGATCTCTCAGGAATGGATTAATATCGTTGGTCGAGGGTCCACAGTATAAAAAAAATACTGAAGATTGAGACACTTATGCAGCATATGGGAATCTTTATTCAGGAAACGTTTCGCCACACAGTGGCTTCATCAGTCCAATACAAAGAGGAAGGCGTAAGGAGAGGAGGAGTATGAGGTAGTCAGTCCCTCAGCCTGGAGTCGATGTGTTCAGTCCATCAATCTTGTAGAATGTACAGCATAGGGCCGTAGACGTGGCTTATATACTGTAGTGAGGTGAGGTGAAGCAGGATTAAATACTGCAGCAAGCAGTGCATAATGAGAAAAAAAAACTCCGCATTTTTGGATTAAAACTGACTTTGAGGTGTACTATTTTCGTATAGTTTTTATGGTTATATTCTCGTTTTCGTAGTCACATTTGATAGAATGGAAAACATATTATAGAAATGGAGGTGATTTTGATTGGTTTTACTATGAAAATGACCTGGAAATGGAGCTCAAAATGGGGAAAATGTTTGATTTTTGCCAATGTTCAAGAGTAAACAAATGACATCATTGTCCAATGAATGTCCAACTAGCCATTCTGATATGCAGTCATGAATGGGTTGACAGTATTTATACAATTATTACAATATTGCAGTAGTCTGCATAACAGTAAATCTTCTATTTTTTGTTTGAATAAAATTCAAATAGAAAGCATGTATTATCAGAAGGCTGGAGACTCACTGATGAACAAAGAAAAATGTTATTTTAGAGCCAGGAATGTCTGCATTGTTTTCATCTGGACCTAATTTTGCGTAAATTTGGCCAAAATTTGCCAATTTCTGACCACTTTTTTGGGTATTTGAAATGGTAAATGGGCATTTTTTTGTACTAAATTAGAACAAAGGGATTCTAAAAAAATAGCTATGATTTTTGGTCGACGGAACAGGGGAAATTTACCCAAAAAAGGGGGCTAAAAGTGGGCGAAATTACGATTAAAAAATACCCCCAAGGTCGCTAACTTCACAGGCATAATTCCAAAACTTTTCCATAAAGTTTCTGCTTTTCTGTAAATTATCATTGGAGAAGATTTCTATCATTTCAAAAATTTTTTTTTTTTTTCCAAATATTTGCAAAACCAGGGGACACCTCAGGATTTGGGTTGCAACATCAAAGGGTTAAAAAGTTTCAGTATATAATATTGTTTTTTATGTTTAACAATTCTTATTTTTTTATGGCCACAAATTTTATTTTTAATTCTCCTTACAGGGAGGCGGGGTAGTGGGTCAAACAAGTTGGAATCTCAAGGGTGGGAGATACATTTAAAAAATATGAATATGTTGAAGGGGAAGCGAAAGTTTTAAGACCCGATTTCTCAATATTGGTGGGTCACTTGTGACAAATAGGCATTCGTAATATAATTAAAATACGACCAGTTGAATTATAGGCGCTTTAACTGTTGGTTGTGACCTTAGTCTTTGATCTAGTTAAATTAGTACTTTCAGTGATTTTTTATTTTATTAATTTTAAATATTTTATAGTAGTACACCAAAGCAAAGTTTTCCTCTTTGCCAATAAGTATTTTTCCTCCGATAATTAGATTGTGTGTTGAAGGAAACCCACCTCAGTGGCATTCAAATTTATCCATACTTTTAATGATATTTATCAAAAACTTGATTTAGCAAGAGAATACGTTCGCACATTCTGTATTACACCTGATAAAAATGCAAAAGAAAAGAAATGTATTTCACTTCGTTAGCCTTTTCAGTGGACCTTGATGTTCAAGCACTTCTCTCTGTAGAACCTCTTCACTTCATCCACATCACCTTGGTTTGCACTTGTGGGCTTCATTTTACTGTAAACCAACTTCAGAAATCTTCTTTCTTCAATAAATTGGCCGTATCCACCGAGGCAGGGTGGCATTTTAGTCGCCCCTTACAACACGCATGGCTTATGGAGGAAGAATTCTGTTCCACTTTCCCATGGAGATAACAGGAAATAAACAAGAACTAATAAGAACATAGAAGAAAACCCAGAGGGGTGTGTGTATGTGTGTGTGTATATATATATATATATATAATATATATATATAATATATATATATATAATTATATATATATATATAATATTTTTTTTTTTTTTTTTTTTTTTTTTTTTTTTTTTTTTTTTTTTTTTTTTTTTTCCCAACAGTCGGTCGTCTCCCACCAAGGCAGGGTGACCCAAAAAAGAAAGAAAATCCCCCCAAAAAAAATACTTTCATCATCATTCAACACTTTCACCACACTCACACATTATCACTGCTTTTGCAGAGGAGCCCAGAATACAACAGTTTAGAAGCATATACGTATAAAGATACACAACATATCCCTCCAAACTGCCAATATCCCAAACCACTCCTTTAAAGTGCAGGCATTGTACTTCCCATTTCCAGGACTCAAGTCCGACTATATGAAAATAACCGGTTTCCCTGAATCCCTTCACTAAATATTACCCTGCTCACACTCCAACAGATCGTCAGGTCCCAAGTATCATTCGTCTCCATTCACTCCTATCTAACATGCTCATGCACGCTTGCTGGAAGTCCAAGCCCCTCGCCCACAAAACCTCCTTTACCCCCTCTTTCCAACCCTTTCGAGACGACCCCTACCCCTCTTTCCTTCCCTATAGATTTATATGCTTTCCATGTCATTCTACTTTGATCCATTCTCTCTAAATGACCAGACCACCTCAACAACCCCTCTTCTGCCCTCTGACTAATGCTTTTATTAACTCCACACCTTCTCCTAATTTCCACACTCCGAATTTTCTGCATAATATTTACACCACACATTGCCCTTAGACAGGACATCTCCACTGCCTCCAACCGTCTCCCCGCTGCTGCATTTACCACCCAAGCTTCACATCCATATAAGAGTGTTGGTTACTACTATACTTTCATACATTCCCTTCTTTCCTCCATAATAACGTTTTTTGACTCCACATATACCTCAACGCACCACTCACCTTTTTCCCTCATCAATTCTATGATTAACCTCATCCTTCATAAATCCATCCGCCGACACGTCAACTCCCAAGTATCTGAAAACATTCACTTCTTCCATACTCCTCCTCCCCCATTTGATATCCAATTTTTCTTTATCTAAATCATTTGATACCCTCATCACCTTACTCTTTCTGTGTTCACTTTCAACATTCTACCTTTACACACATTCTCAAACTCATCCACTAACCTTTGCAATTTTTCTTTAGAATCTCCCATAAGCACAGTATCATCAGCAAAAAGTAACTGTGTCAATTCCCATTTTGAATTTGATTCCCCATAATTTAATCCTACCCCTCTCCCGAACACCCTAGCATTTACTTCTTTTACAACCCCATCTATAATATATTAAACAACCATGGTGACATTAACACATCCCTGTCTAAGACCTACTTTTACCGGAAGTATTCTCCCTCTCTTCTACACACCCTAACCTGAGCCTCACTATCCTCATAAAAGCTCTTTACAGCATTTAGTAACTTACCACCTATTCCATAAACTTGCAACATCTGCCACATTGCTCCTCTATCCACTCTATCATATGCCTTTCTAAATCCATAAATGCAATAAAAACTTCCTACCTTTATCTAAATACTGTTCACATATATGCTTCAATGTAAACACTTGATCTACACATCCCCTACCCACTCTGAAGCCTCCTTGCTCATCCACAATTCTACATTCTGTCTTACCTCTAATTCTTTCAATTATAACCCTAACCGTATACTTTTCCTGGTATACTCAGTAAACTTATTCCTCTATAATTTTTACAATCTCTTTTGTCCCCTTTCCCTTTATATAAAGGGACTATACATGCTCTCTGCCAATCCCTAGGTACCTTCCCCTCTTTCATACATTTATTAAACAAAAGTACCAACCACTCCAACACTATAATCCCCCCTGCTTTTAACATTTCTGTCATGATCCCATCAGTTCCAGCTGCTTTACCCCCTTTCATTCTACGTAATGCCTCACGTACCTCCACCACATTTACATTCTGCTCTTCTTCACTCCTAAAAGATGGTATACCTCCCTGGCCAGTGCATGAAATTACCACCTCCCTTTCTTCCTCAACATTTAAAAGTTCCTCAAAATATTCTCGCCATCTACCTAATACCTCCCTCTCCCCATCTACTAACTCCCCTACTCTGTTTTTAATGGACAAATCCATACTTTCCCTAGGCTTTCTTAACTTGTTTAACTCACTCTAAAATTTTTTCTTATTTTCATTAAAATTTCTTGACAGTGCCTCTCCCACTCTTTCATCTGCTCTCCTTTTGCACTCTCTCACCACTCTCTTCACCTTTCTTTTACTCTCCATATACTCTGCTCTTCTTATAACACTTCTGCTTTGTACAAACCTCTCATAAGCTACCTTTTTCTCTTTTATCACACCCTTTACTTCATCATTCCACCAATCACTCCTCTTTCCTCCTGCCCCCACCCTCCTATAACCACAAACTTCTGCCCCACATTCTAATACTGCATTTTTAAAACTATTCCAACCCTCTTCAACCCCCCCACTACATATCTTTGCATTAGCCCACCTTTCTGCCAATAGTCGCTTATATCTAGCCCGAACTTCCTCCTCCCTTAGTTTATACACTTTCACCTCCCTCTTACTTGTTGTTGCCACCTTCCTCTTTTCCCATCTACCTCTTACTCTAACTGTAGCTACAACTAAATAATGATCTGATATATCAGTTGCCCCTCTATAAACATGTACATCCTGGAGCCTACCCATCAACCTTTTATGCACCAATACATAATCTAACAAACTACTTTCATTACGTGCTACATCATACCTTGTATATTTATTTATCCTCTTTTTCATAAAATATGTATTACTTATTACCAAATTTCTTTCTACACATAGCTCAATTAAAGGCTCCCCATTTACATTTACCCCTGGCACCCCAAATTTACCTACTACTCCCTCCATAACATTTTTAACCCACTTTAGCATTGAAATCCCCAACCACCATTACTCTCACACTGATTCAAAACTCCCCATGCATTCACTCAACATTTCCCAGAATCTCTCTCTCTCCTCTACACTTCTCTCTCTCCAATGACATACACGCTTACTATAACCACTTTTCACATCCAATCTTTATTTTACTCCACATAATCCTTGAATTTATGCATTTGTAGTCCCTCTTTTCCTGCCATAGCTTATCCTTCAACATTATTGCTACTCCTTCCTTTAGCTCTAACTCTATTTGAAACCCCTGACCTAATCCCATTTATTCCTCTCCATTGAAACTCTCCCCACCCCCTCAGCTTTGTTTCACTTAAAGCCAGGACATCCAGTTCTTCTCATTCATAACACCACAATCATCTCTTCTCTTATCATTTGCACAACGTCCAGCACATTCAGACTTCCCACTTTGACAATTTTCTTCTTCTTATTCTTTTTAGTATCTTTACAGGAAAAGGGGTTACTAGCCCATTGTTCCCGGCATTTTAGTTGGCTTTTACAACACGCATGGCTTACGAGGAAAGATTCTTATTCCACTTCCCCATGGATATAAAAGGAAAAGTAATAAGACCAAGAACTATTAAGATAAAATCAAAGAAAACTCAGATGAGTGTGTATAAATAAACGTGTACATGTATGTGTAGTGTGACCTAAGTGTAAGTAGAAGTAGCAAGACGTACCTGTAATCTTGCATATTTATGAGACAGACAAAAGACACCAGCAATCCTACCATCATGTAAAACAATTAAACAGGCTTTCATTTTACACTCACTTGGCAGGACGGTAGTACCTCCCTGGGTGGTTGCTGTCTCCCAAACATATAATATATATATATATATATATATATATATAAAATATAAATATATATATATATATATATATATATATTTTTTTTTTTTTTTTTTTTTTTTTTTTCAACAAGTCGGCCGTCTCCCACCGAGGCAGGGTGACCCAAAAAAAAAGAAAATCCCCAAAAAGAAAATACTTCATAAACATTCAACACTTTCACCACACTCGCACAATATCACTGTTTTTGCAGAGGTGCCAAAATACAACAGTCTAAAGCAAAAAACATATATGTTTATATATATATTTTAATATATATATATTTTATATATATAATATTTTATTTTATATAATATATTATATATATATAAATATATTATATATATATAAATATATAAAATATTTATATATAAAATTATATATATATAAATATAATTATATATATATATATTTATAAATATAATATTTATATATAATAAATTTAATATATATAAATTTATATATATATATTTTATATATATATATATATATTTATATAT